AAATTCCACGAAAAGGAACTTTAAATTACCAAAGTTGGAGCTTCAAAAATTCAATGGAGAGACCCGAAATTGGTTAGGATTTTGGGGACAGTTTAAGAAGATCGACGAAGATGTAAATATAGATGACGATGATAAATTTCAGTACCTACTGCAGGTAACGGTCGTTGGATCCCCAGCGAGAGAGCTCATAGATAGTTATCCTCCCTCAGGCGCTAATTATAAAGAAGCTATCAAGCAGCTAAAATCTCGATTTGCGCACGACGAATTACATGTAGAAATCTATGTTCGCGAATTATTAAAGTTGGTTTTGGCTCAAGCTAGCAAAAAAGAAAAAATATGATTCTATCCAACTTATATGATAAGTTAGAGACGCAACTTAGAGCTTTGGAGACGGGGGTAAAATTTGAGATTTATGCAGCTATGCTGTATCCCCTTGTAGAGTCTTCACTACCTGAAGAAATTCTGAGGGCATGGGAGCGATCTCGCCAGCGTAAGGAAAGTGTGGCACACACTGAAAATTTGGAAAATTTATTGGATTTTCTCCGAATTGAAGTTGAAAGTGAAGAGCATCTTCAGTTGGCCCGTACAAGTTTTTCTGCTCCAGACAAATTGGACTCGGTTCCAGCCACAGCAGCTTGCATTTATGCAGGAGATTCAAAGAAGAAATAGCTTAATTTTTGTGTTTGGTGTGACAAGGAAACACATAATTCTTATGAGTGCTTTAAGCTACACAGCCTTTCATTGGAAGATAAGAAAAATTTACTAAGAAAGAAAAAAGCTTGTTTTAACTGCCTAAAAATTGGGCATGCTGCCGAAAAGGGTAAAAGTTCTGTGAAATGCCTAGTTTGCAACAAACGGTGATGTGCAGAGAACTAAAAACGTTCTAAAAGTTCAAAAAAGGAAGCACCTAAAGCAGCTAACGAAACGAGTGAGACTTTATTGTCTAACCAAAAACTGCAAACAACTCTTCTCCAAACTATTATGGTGAAGATTCTCTATAATGGAAAAAATGAGATTGTGAGAACGCTTTTTGACAGTGGGTCACAAAGATCTTACTTACGGAAAGACATAATAAAGAGACTAGATTTAGTCTCATTCACTTTGAGCCACAATTTGTTTGCTGGAGTTGAAACTGAATCTCAGGTCCATGGTATTTTTGATATTGAAATACAAGGAACGGAAAATAAATTCAAATACAAATTATCGGTTTTAGATAAAGACAAAATTTGTGGATACATTCCTAGAGTGAAATTCAAACATACATGTTCCTCACTTCGAGAACATAAAATCAAAATCAGCGATTCTGGTAGAGATACACCAGATATCGGATTGTTAATAGGAGCCGACTATTCCAGACAGTTGACGAATAATATCATTCCAATTGACAAAAACCTTATTGCCATCAAAACAAAATTGGATTGGACCCTACAAGGCCCAGTGCAAAGTCATAATACCTTGCTTGGTACCGTCGGACTTTGTTATTTGGATCTCGCAGAACTATGGAATTTAGAGACAATTGGCATAAAAGATCCGGCGGAAGTGAAGACTAAGGAAAATTTAGACAATGAAACGATCAAATTTTCCTAGAGAACATTATAGTCATCGAATTCTTGAAGATAATAAAGATAAAGCGGAAAAAAGACTTTTCGCCAATACACGAAGACTGCAGAAGATGGGATTTTTCGAAGAATATGATGGTATTATTAAAGGCTGGCTCGAGGAAGGTGTAATTGCAATAGCTCCGAATAATAGTGATACTGGTCACTATTTATCTCATCAAGCAGTAATCAAAGATTCCAGTCTGACTACGAAAGTGCGACCTGTATTTGATGCATCACTGAAGGATGAAAATGGGAATTCCTTGAATGCTTGCCTCGAAAAAGGGCCGAATTTAAAAGAAATGCTTCCAAAACTTTTGATACAATTCCGGCAACATGCAATTGGTGTTACTGCCGATATAAGAAAAGCTTTCTTACAAATCAGTTTGTGTGTCAGAGACAGAGACTTTTTGAAATTCCTGTGGTGGAAAGATTCAAACAAAACCGAGATCGTTACCTATAGACACTGTTCGTGTCGTGTTCGGAATTTCTTCGAGTCCATTGCTGTTGGGAGGAACGATTTATTACCATTTGGATAATGCTCCACAAGATTTAAGAGGAACGGCACTTAGATTGAAGAAATCCTTTTATGTCGACAATTGTATAGCTAGTTTCGAAACTGAAGAAGAAGTAGTCAAGTTCAAAGAAGAGTCCCAAACTCTAATGTCTTCAGGAGGTTTTGACCTTAGAGGGTGGACTGCTGCACCATTCAAAGATAGAAGCATGACTTCCTATCAGAAGATCATTCCAATTCTGGGACTCTGATGGGACACCGAGAATGGATGAAATCTATTGCAATTTAACCCCTTTTGGCATTTTCGGAGAGTGCCCACACGAAACGAATCTCTTCTGTCAGTCTCACAGAGGGAATATTCGACCCCATCGGATTTACAAGTCCAACTATGTTAATTCCAAAACGTATTCTGCAAAAAACATGGAAGATGAAACGTTTTTGGGATGAAAATCTTCCACAGGGTATAAAAAGAGAATTTCAGGCTTGGCTAAAAAAACTACACTTCTTGAATTATTGTAAAATTTCAAGAAGACTTGTGATTGGACCTTTCGATGACTTCTCTATCTCTCTTACATTGTTTTAGTGATGCTAGTAAGGCATTTTATGCAGCATGCATTTTCTTGCGTGCATATTTTGAGGGCAAAACTTCAGTACAATTGGTATTATTTAAATCAAGAGTAGCGCCTTCCAAAGAAGTAACTATTCCTAGATTAGAGTTGCTTGGAGCACTTATAGCTACTCGGCTGTATCGTCAAGTCACTGACGTTCTTAAATTGACAAAGTGCCAAGTGTACCTTTGGAGTCTGAAGTTCTGACGTGAATCAAAAAAGACTCTCACTGGAGTGTTTTGGTGACAAATCATGTAGCTGAAATAAGGAGATGCACAAATCCGGACGACTGGCATTATGTACCAAACTCAAGCAACTCTTTCCTCTAGAGGGTGTGATGCCAAAATGTTGCTACAGAGCAGATGGTGGAAGTGGCTGGATTGGCTTAAAAAAGAGCCGCATAAATGGCCTCTCTCTGAAGAATCAAAACTAGAAACTGATGAACTGAGTAGAGAATATGTTGCAATTTCCTAAAATTGCAAGGTGGGAGGATGTTCAGGAACGTGCACGAACTCAGTTAATACACAATAATTTAATATGTTCATTATAATGTAGATTTTTTGTGGCAGCAGTGATGTTTTGTTATATATTACTTTGAGCATGATAACGCATGGAATGGTATTCTTTTTGTAATGTTTGGAATGCTAAATAAATAAGTTCGTTGTTAATTAAAAAGGTTTTCTCTCCCAAATATATTACCATTCATTCGAAGTCATTAAATAAGTAAAGAAATTGATTAATTTCAAACAGGGGGAATAAAGTCCAAACATCTGATAGCTATGGAAAAAGTAATAAATATGGAAATGAAATACCATTAAGACCATCCGAGAGGCTCAAATCAAAACAACTAGCCTCAAGTATAATCAGACATGTTCCGAATGATTTTTCAGAAGCAAAACAAAGTGCTAATTGGTATGACTGGAAATCCGTAATGGAAAATGAATTAGATTCATTACATAAACACGAAGTGTGGGAAATAGTAGAGAGGCCTGAAAAAACAAAAATTAGTAAAAAGTAAGTGGGTGTATACTTTGAAGGAAGGAGACTCTGGAGAAGTAGAATATAAAGCGCGATTAGTAGCGGCTGGGTTTAATCAAATAAAAAATAAGGATCATACCGAATCATATTCACCAGTAGTTAACATTGAATGTTTTAGATTATTGCTTGCACTTTCAGTTAAATTAAATCTTACTGTTAAATTTTATGATGTAAAAACAGCATACTTGTACAGTGACTTAAACAAGGATGTGTATATGACTCCTTCACCTGGTTATGAAAAACTGATTGGAGAAGGAAAAGTATGCAAATTGAAGAAAAGTATTAATGGGTTGCCTCAATCGGGTAGAAACTGGTACTATCGGAAATTCTATTTGACATAATCGAAAGTTCAAGCTTACTTTTATAAAATTGCTCTAACAGTCTGCAAAAAATAATAAGCCGGCTCCAATTCGAAGATTAAGGAACAACGCAATCTGCAACATTAACTGAATTAGATAATTTTAGCTTAGCTTATACCGTCCATTATACATTAAACATGCATGTGTAAACTTGTTATGCGCACATGCATATTCGCAGCCGTAAAGGACTTACGTGCACGCGTAAACGCCTATGTGCATGCGTCAACACAACACATGCGCAGAAAGTTTTTAGCTTTGAGGTCCGAATTAACGACTTTTGACTGTACTATATTGTTTCAAATTTGATCAGAAAACTACACAATTTAAAAGAAATAAGCTGCCACTTGGCAAAGCACTAGATATTTGTCTTTGAAATTAATCGCACATTCAGCAGTTTAAAAGCAATGTGTTGCCACTGCTTGAAATAAAATATTTTTGTCTTCCACACACCACTGTGTTGCCATTTGGCTAAACATAAGATATTTTTCTTTGAAACTTAAACAATATGTTACTGATTAACAAACTAAGTGATTTAAAATAAATAAACACAGTTCTTCACCTCTTATTAATAATTACTAGCTGTACCCATGAAAATACACTAGCTGAACTCTTTGAAGTCATTATTTTTCTTTCTTACAATAGCTGTGTTTAGGTATGTTTATTAGGTTAAACACAATAAATTTGTTATAAATAACTTAAAATCATATACAAGTATACTTTGTTATAATATATAAAAAATCAAGTGATTGCAGCCCATGTACATTATATTAATTGTGGGAAGGTACAGTTGTATTTGAAGAATTTTAAAAATAATGTAATAAGCACAAATGCATATTGTAAATGATTAATTTTGAAACTGTGATATTTTGTTATACAATAAAAATTCTCATTCGCAAAAATATTTACTTTTCTAAAAGTGATGTTTCTGAGGATGAAGCTCCAGATGTGCTTGCAGAAAGTTTCTTGCCATAAACATTGCTGTATTTAAATGGATTGCTGAATGAATGCTTCTTTAACATGCTCTTTACAAGGATCTAAAATAATAAATACGGAAAAAATTATACAGAATGCATACGTTTGTGCAATTATGCTTTACATAACTTGTATCTGCATAAAATATCAGTTTTAACTACACACATACCATATTCTTGCACATAATAAGCCACAGCATTTACTTTCCTAAACATATATACTGCTATGTCAGGCACATGTGACCATTACTTCACTGAGCCACTGAGGTTACATTAGTCACATGTAGCTGACAACACGTTTGGATTCTAACCTCAAATATACTTATGATGGTCATTTTCTCATGCATTATTGTATCAAACTTGACTGACATAGCTATAATACTATGTTGGGCCCACACTGGTTACCTGTGATAAATATTTTTTCCACTATTTTTTATTTATTATTATTATTTTGCACAATATATAAAAGTAAATCAATAACAATTTCTAAGTGTTCCAAATACCATAATATCTAGTTATGTTTTTGCTATTATAGCCCTTTGTTTGTGTGGCCGTATATATGTTAAGAGTTTTAAGGGAGAGAAATATTCTCGGGTATAAGCCACACTATATTGACCCAACTAGCCTAATAAATATTTTAAGCCTTGTAATAATCTTTTATAATAATTTAATATACTATAAACATGCTTATTTAGCTACTAACTAGAATATTAAGCTGGCATACTGGAACAGAAATCGAGTGTATCTCCAACAAAAAACTTTTTTTTTACATTTTCGTAGAAAATGTTGGTAACAGAATCTTTCATTTTGGACAACATACTGCTTAATTGTACCCAGACATTCAATTTTTGTACCATTTTCATGGAAAATGTTAGAAAAGCATTTTAACTGAATTTAGCACCAGTATCTACATTATTATTATTATTATTATTTCTAATAACAGATTACAAAGACAACTGTAGACAGAGCAAGCAAAGATGAAAGAGAACAGCAGAACTATAAAAGCATCCACATATAAATCTGTTTTGTGTCTCGCCTCCAAGTATCTCTCCGAGAGTGATCCAGCATATGTGCAGGGCAACGACTCAGATATGAGGATTCATTTCCTTATGAAGGCTGCACAATTTATAAATTGGGGTAGGGATAATGTTCATTAATGCATAATACATACTTTTAAATTACACTTTATAAAAGGATTACATTGTTATTTAAGTTCAGCACAGAGTAATTTATAGACAAATGATTGATTTCTAAGATTTCAATAATAATAGAAAATTAAGAAAATAGAAGTCCATGCAAAAAAATTTTAAGTGTAAGAAATGTTTGCTATTTTTTCTGTTTTTTTTTTTTTTTTTTTTTTTTTTTTTTTTTTTTTATTTTTAATTTTTTTAATTTATTTAAATATGGAAGAATGTAGAATTTATAAAACTTTTTCAAATAACTCAGTCTTAATTGAAATAGCTCACAACTAATTTATCATTTTATGCCATCATTCAGTATTCAGATATATTTAAATTATTGTGTATGTTTTTCTTTACTTTGGATGGATTAATTTTTTTCTTATCTTCTTACAACAAAGTATTTGATACTTTTAATAATAGTTCACATTCTACTTCCATTTGCAAAAACAGCACTACAGGATTAAATACATTCTTCAAGTAATGTAATTTCTAGTTATGTTTTAACTGCTTTTTACAGTAAATAAATTAAAGCAATTTAGTATGCATCAGTTTAAGGATAAATATTTTGGCAAGCATTTATTAAATTTCTATAAAAATTTTCATATTATATACACTACATTTAAACTATAATTTTAAATTATTATATTTAAATAATTACATAAATTTTATCTTAAATTAAATTGTCCTCTACTTACTAAAGTGCCTAATTTAGGGACTGACTGGATAGATTTTTCTATATCATCTTGAGTTACTTCAATTGCCTTGCAGTTTTCTTGTTCACTTGGAAGAGGACTGAGACCATTTCTAGTAACCCACTTATGCTCCTGCAAATAGAAATAATTTTATAATACAATATTTTCTAGTTCATTTTAAGTAAAACTCTATATAATTAAACTTGAAACTTATATATTGCTTTGTAATAAAAGCTCTTGTATACATGCAGCTAAGTTGATAGAGTGCTAATAATCTAAGTGGTTATCAATAATTCGGGCAATTTAGAATTTAAGAAATATTAATAAATCATTAATTCTATGCTTCTGTCATCAATGCTATAACTAGAGAAATGAAATATTCTGTAAACAATTTACATCTATGAACATACCAGTTTTGATATATTAATAAAGACATAAAGTAAGAAATTTAGAACTAATATTTCACAAACACCAGAAATTGAAATTCATAATTAATAAATTTCAAATAATCATAGAAATGCAAAAAATTTTAAAACCAAAAATTTCAAACAAGTAAAACCGCTTTCAAAATTAATGAAATTAAAAGAAAATAACAAAAACAGAAGAGAATTCAATCAATCTCATGTCACTCATCAGGGGGGAGGAACCTTGATTAATTAAAATCTCTCTTCTACAAAACCTTGCTTTTCGTATCCAGAATTAGCCCATGAACCATTTCAATGTATTTAAATTATAATTATAATATTAGTTCATCCAAAAATTCTGGCCCTTCTCCAAAGCAAGGACATTTTTTTTTAAAAATTATAAATATTAGAAAATTTTAAATAAAGGGAATTCTATCCCTTTAAAAGAATTGAAAACGAAAATGAAAAAACAAAACTTAAGTGAAATTTTTTTTAAAAAATTTTAATTTGAATCTTTAAACAGAAAATCCAATGAACTAAGATGTAGTTGGAAAACCTATTTAGAACATACAAAACGAAACTACTTTATGTGTTTAATGATAATTTTTCTGCAGCTTAATGCACGAAAATAGCTAGGCATGTTTGTGTTTTGTTTTCAAAAGAATTATTTTGTAATTATACATTGATAAATATATCATGTCCTGGCTTGCGTGTTCTTGTATATGTACGCTGCGAAAAAAAAAAGGGGGCAGTTCTATATTTCTTGTTCAACTGGGCCAATTGGCGAAATTCAACTTGCGCTTTTTCAGGTCTCGAAAGCGCGACTTAGGATATGGATTAGATTTATATATAGCGTTATTCTAATATAGTATTTTGACACAAAATCGGACTTTTTCTTAAACGACATGCCATTTTTTTCGAATCCGCGACTCAAATTATGCCAAATTGCCAAGTTTTGTAAAAATCACATGAGTAGTTTTTAAAAAATTAGCTCTCAAAATTTTAGCTCCTCAATGTTAATTTAATTTTCGGTATATATTTCTTAATATCTCGTTTTTATTAAACTTATTTGATTCTTCCTTTCACATGTCGAAATTTAGATTCACTCCAAATAAAATGCGCCTATTTTTTATGATTTATTTTAAAATAACTATAACTTTATAAATTTTTCAGAAACAGTTTTCATTATAAGCTATAAAATGTTTAACATCATCTTAAATTAAATGTGTTTCTAAGCACACCTGCAAAAAATTAGAGTTTTTTATTCAAAATTTCCTAAGATATACGTAAATTTACGTATTGGTGCACTTTGAAATTTGGCTTATTTGTTATAAGCGATAACAACGCCAGATGTGGTTTACGAACTTTGTTAAAATTATTTGAAAGTATGAACGATGACTTCTTTCTGCTGGTATTCAATGAAAAAAAGGAAAGGAAAATAGGTTGCTATAAATTAAGAAGTAAATTATTCTTGGTGTGGGGAGGGGGAAATGAGCCAACATGAATTTTTAAATTTATTCATAAATTCCCGCCCAAAATTACAAGATTTAATATCTAGGCATAATTTGAGTCGTAGAAGCGAAATATGGAAAAAAATTGGTTTTGTTATTTCAGAAAAAGTCCGATTTTTTGTCAAAATACCTATGTTAGAACAATGCTATATATATATATATATATAACAAATGTTGTATGATCTTAAAATTCACTTAGTTCGAAAATAAGTTATTCTAATACTTGCGTAATAGCTGCAAAGTAAGATAATAATAATTTATTTACTAAAGAAATATTGATTATATTATCTCCTAATAATAATTTTAGTAGAAGTATCTAAAAAGAGTGAGCCTAGAGGTAGGAAGTTTAATCCCGAAAATTGTTATCAAGTTATCTTTCGAGACATGAAAAATTCAATTTAAATTTCGTCAATCGCCCTAGTAGAACGAGAGATATATAAAACTGTTCCCCCCCTTTTTTTGCACAGTGTATCATTGTATATATGTATACATAAATGTAGTAAATTAACATAATAAGGGTTGCAATAATTATAAACATTTTATACACTTTGTAATACTAATACTAACAATAATAATTACACTAATAATAATAAATTTGTTTAAAATTTATTATTGTTATTTTATTTGTTAACAGTATTTTTGATTCTATTTATCATTTTCAGTAATAAAAATGTAGTTTTCTAGTATTTAATTTGCTGATTTACGATTCTCACTATCTTTTAAATAATTATCATATTAATCATTTTCATTTATAACAGTTTTTTAATAAGTTTTTTTTAGCTTTATATATTAATTATTAGAAATAATATAGTTTGAAATTATTTACATATATAAATTTGAAATAATTTGTCCCTTATATATTGCTTCCAGAAATCAGCAGAATTTTCAGTATAGTTAGTTTTAACTGGAAATAATATTACTGCAATGATAGTGAAAGTGTGAATCCCTATTTTATAGATTTTGATTAGCTATCTTTTGATTTATGTTTCTAGGTTAGATTATTTGAATAGGGTAAAGCCATAATGGTTACCTTTCTAAGAGGACAGATGCCTTTGTGGAGGAGTTTCTGAAGAAAACTGGTTCATATTCATACTACACATGAGAATAACCAACCATGTAGCCAGCTTATTCACCTGGTAGCATAACTAAACCAGGTGGAACTACTAGAATTCAGTGGTGGAGCCTTACATTTTCAAATTATTAAAATTCTATGATGCTGCACTTTTTTAAGATAGATTACAAAATTATTCAAAGTAATTTTATTTTTTAATTTACAAATATGGAATGGCAGTGTACACATGAAGTAAAAGTAAAGTAACTGCTTTGTGAATCTTATGGCAAAGTGCATAATTTCATTGAATTCCTGCATTTTTTTTAAATGTACTTTGACCAGCAAAAACAGTGCACTTTATCTTTTAAAAGTTTTTCCTTTCTGAAAATATCATTTTTTTAGATTTAAAACAATTAAAGAAATCAAGTTTTTAGCTGCAAAACATGCATTTTTTAGCAGTAGAATCTGCGCTCAGCAAACTTGCTGCCATTGAAGGTCATTCATGAACAGTTTTGATTTAATTCTATAGGGCATTTTGTTCTGCAAACCAGAACCAACCATTATTCAATTTATGCATTCTTTAGATTCTGCTTCGGATTTCAAAAATTTTAATAAACTGTCTAATCTACATTTTGAGTTTGGGCTGCACTTCTTTATCAAATGCTTAAACAAACTTCTGATAAGCAAGGCTCAAATAAAGGATAAAGAAATGCAGCACTTTTATCGGTATTGATGGCAAGTCTTTCCAGAGCCTGAATTTATTGTTTCAAATTATCATATAATGCACAACTGCGCAAGACACTTTTAAAAATGCTGAATGATGTGATAGTCAGAATCGAAGCATCGTGGAAAAGATAGGGTTACAGGGGTAAGTCTATTGAACATAAGTTACATGGCTATCTCGAATATCAAGCTGGCAATTAATCTTTGATGTGAAATTTGGTGAGAAATCACCAAAAGTTGCCAAGGTTGAAGACTATTTGGTGGCATTTTGGTCTGACTCCTTTGTAACTATAACTGGTCCAATCTCTATGTAACTATAACACTGTATCCGTCCCTATGTAACTAAAAGTGCATTCCTTACAGCAGTTTTGAGAAATCGAAGGGACTGGAAATTTCTTAACAAATGGGCAAAACCTACAGCAAGTCTCATTTACATCAGTTTACAATGTCCCATTCTAAACATTTTTAGTAGTCTGAAATAGTAACTACTGATTGTGCTGCGTCATACAGAGAGAAGCTATATGAGTATTTTTTGAAAAGTTCCAAAACTGTGAAGTGTTTATTTTTCTATTTATTTATTTTAATAAATTTCATCAAGCTTTCATCAGTTTTGTGTGCATTCAATCCATTACAAACCCATATGCACATAACAATATTAATTATAATATTGAATACAAAATGATGTTCATTATATTATAGATAATAGGATTAATGCAGAATTATTCTTATCATCAGATGAAGCTTATTTAAAAAAAAAAAAAAAAAATTCAAGCTTTTTTCACTGTAAATTAACAAAAAAGAGAATTTCATTAAAAAATGTATAATTTTTTTTAAAATAGAAACTTTAAAAGATTTTCTTTTCCACTCTTTTCAAAATATAAAATTTCAGTAGTGGTTTTTATTACCTTAAATGAAGAAATAATGTGTAGTTAGTTATTTTGCATGCATGTGTGTGTGATGTAAATGCTGAAATGCTTAGCTGTATATATAAATAAAATAGGGTAGTAATTTACAAAAAAGGTAAATTAAGAATATTATATCATTACATTCAGAACATTAATTTCCTGTGTAAAAAATGACAGGAAGTATAAATAATTCAAATGATATTAAATAAAAATTATCTTTCTTAGTTAATGATAAATTAAGATAATCCAAAAATGTAAAATTACCTTTATTCCTTTTAAGGTTATTCTTTGTTTTGGATCCTTCTCCAACATTCGACTCAATAGGTGTTTCAAGCTCTCACTAACACTGTATCTGGTAGATGAAATTATTTAAAATAAGTTTGTAGCTAAATAAGCAACATAAAATTTCAAAGATAAAAAACTCAGAATAGGCATACAAGTACCTAGTAAGTCTGAAATTAAATAAAGAAATTTCGAAGCAAACTTTTGTATGACACTTCAGTTTTTTTTTTATTAATATCAAGTTTTAGGTGAAAAGATTTTCATTCCTATTACAATACATAAGCTGTTATTCCTTGAAGCAATATTCAAAATTTTAGGCACATTGTTTTATAAAATTTCAAACAATCAACTTCAAATTCCCAGATTCAAAGCTATATTACAAATTATACATAGACTACCAGGTTTTTGCATGAATTTATTATCAGATGGCTCAAGATAAACCAAACTAGACATGACAACTAGACAAGACTTCCTTAGTCAAAGAAAGTGAAGTCTCCCATGTTCAGTTTGGTTTATTTTGGACCACCTGATAGTGCTATGTTTCTTTTAAAACCACACAACAACAACGCATTATAGAAAAACACCATTGTATCTTTTTCTTATCTCAAACAGCTTAGTAGTTGAATGTACTAATAACAGTAAACACAAGAACACTGAATGAACATTTTGAAGATGAATAGTCAGAGTTGCAAACCAAATACAATCATGATGAAAAAAAGGTACAAGATGTCTAACTAGTCTTCAATTGCACTCATATGCAAATTAACAGAATTTGCACATCAAGCCAAATTTCTAAAAAACTAATGGATAGCTTTTAATGAAATTTGTATGAGTGTACATTTATGACAGAAAATTAGATGTACCATTTAAAACTGATTTTATGTATGTATGATTGTCCGTAAAGCGCATAATGCAGGGATGTCCAAAATCAATGTTGTAATATCAAACTGAAAAGAGTCTAATATGGGGTTATAGACCTCTTCTCGTAGCCAGGCAGGTCACGTAGAGTGTTGGTATACTGGTCAGGAGGCAGCTGAGGAGTTCCTGTGGCAGTCAATTCCACTCAGTTTTCAACTCCAGAATGGTTCTCGGACGGAGATGGTGAGATAAAATTGTCCCTCCAAGAGCTAAGGTTAGGACATCTAGCTGGCCAATCCATGTGGAGAATATATTCACATTCCAGGTAATCGTCAATCATCTGTGCCCTATGTGGACAAGTGTTGTCGTCCATTAACAGAAACCCAGGATCAACTGCACTTCTGAGAAATCAAACACAAATGTCTAAGATCTCCTCATTATACCTCGTAGCAGTTGGGAAGCCTTTGTCAAATACATGCAGGGGTGTGCAGCTGTAAAGCATAATGCCTACCCAAAGCATTACACCTCCACCAACCGTAATGATCCTTTTCCCTGATGAGAAAAGGATAGTATCGTGTTGCAGACTTTCTCTGATGCACTCTGTATGTACTCTGAGAACCAGTATCCAGCTGTATCTTGACTTATATGTAAAAAAACATGATGCTCCACTGAAGTCTAGTTCAAGATGCATGTTGTGTGTCCCATGCTAAATGCACTCTCTTGTGTGCTGCGATGAACAGAACACAAACAATGTGTCTTCTGGGGAGGGCAAACAGTCCTATCTCATGAAGCCTTCAAGCAGCTGTAGACTGTGAAATTTGGATTTGATTGGCAGGATACAGCTGACATGACAGCTGTGAAGCTGAAACAGGCCTGCAAAGCCAAGCTGAAAATGCCAAATAACGATCCTCATTTGTCATTGTGGATCTTGGGTGACCTTGTCCAGGTCTTTTTGATATGGGTTCAGTGTCCGGAAACTGTTCCCACAAACTTCAGACATCATTGGGCATTATACTGAGCTTTGTAGTCACCTGCTGTTGTGATTAGGTCTGCCTCCAATTTACTGATGATTCTCCATCTCATTCCATCATCCATACGTTCATGGCTACTCATTTTACCTAATAGCTTATAAAATTTGCCCACCTTTTGTGAGAAACATGGTGAATGTTGTGAAGAAATATGAACAAACAAATGGCTGAAAATATCTCATGTGATTTTCCACAATTACAGCGCTGCAGCCATTTAATCTTTTCTTAAAATACTTAACCAATAGTGAGATTTACTCTGAGCAAAACAATAAAATTGTATCACTATTTTAAGGCGTTCTGACAAAGAATGTTGTTGAAAAAAAAAGTAGTTTACCAAGATCTCAAAAATGTCAATAATTTTCACAGCAAAAGTCATTTGAATTGGTGTATGAATTTATGCCATTCTAGAGAAGTATCACTAGAATGGCATATGCACTCAATATCTATACGAATCTTAATACAGAAATAAATTAATAAAGAAAAGTTGGTTCTAAAATAAAGAACATGATAAATAAAGAAAAGTTAGTCATGATAAAAAAATTAACTGTCTAGCATTATTAGAAAAATGTATAGCTTTGACAAATGTCATGCAAATTGTGGAAGTACACATTTGGAAAGCACCATTTAAAACTATAAGAACATACTATTTAAAACACACTGATATGATTAAAATCTGATTAAAATATCCTTACCTTGTATCATGACTAAAACATGATTAAAAATACCCTTATCCTGTATCATGATCCTTAGCCTAGAGCAGAGTTTCTTAAACTGTGGTTTGCCAAAAACTTTAGCAGTTTTGTTAGTTCTTTAACTTATTGTAATAATTTTACAATTACCTAATATTTTTGCATAATGTATCTGAAAATAAAGATAAGACAATACAGACAAAGAAAAAAAACGTTTCGACGCATTTTTTATAATAGAAACGTTTATTTTACTTTAAAAATTAAAGTTAATGACCTAAAACAGCAATAATATATTACAGTACAAGTGAAAAAACTGACAGTTTCACTCACGCATGTGTCAAATTTACGCAATACTTATGGGGGTTCCACAAAATTTTTGTAAATATCATGGGGTCCCCACACCAAAACGTTTAAGAAACCCTGGCCTAGAGCATGATTAAAAATATCCTTAATCTAATATCATGATTTAAACATTACTTACGTGTCTGGAAATGGTACAGGAGAAGACTTTATCTTGGTGTAAAGAGCCAAAATATTTGTGTCAGTAAAGGGTACATCTCCGTAGACAAATGAGTACAGACTGATTCCCATTTGCCAGATATCTAGTGCCTGAAAGATAAATATATTTATTACACACAAAATAAAATTATGTCACTTTAGTTACGTATACAATGGCTGTGTATCTGTTTCTTGAAACTGGCCAGTTCAAAGAAAATATTTTCAGAATTAAAATCTCATTTTGGAAAATGATATAAGATGAGAAAAGAAAGAACATATTATTATTTGTACAGTGGTTTGAAATATTGAGATTATTTCCGGATTTAATTATATGAAACAGATTTTTAAGTACAGCTCATGCTGTACTTAAAAATACTACTCTTCAGATTAGTACTCTTCAGCAGTCGTATGTTTCTAGTGATGCTTGTGCAGCTGATTAAACCCTTTATAGAATCCACCTTTTTGTGACATTTTACACTGAATTGTTTGAAGCTGTTTTCATAACATATTCTGAAAGGAATCTTGCTCTTTAGTAATGCTTTAATTCAGAGTCAGGAATGAATTAGTTTTTACGAAACTTCAGCAATGCAGACAACAAGAATGAGAATGCTTCTGACAAGTCATCACCAGAGGTGAAAAGCAATTTTTTTAAAATATGGGTTCTGAAAAAGCGCTTTTGGGGAATAAAAGTCATTCATTAGAGTGTACTTTAGAAGGTGCTATAATCACCAAGTAAGCTATTAGTCCAGCTCTCAAAACATTCACGTAAAGCATCCCAAAACTGGACACATAAGAATTTGGAATAAAGTTTATAGAGACATTAGGTATTTTTTGGAAGCCGGAGAGATGAAAAATGAGCAATGCCTTCGCCTGGACTCAAACCACGAGCCTCTCGAATATGCGTCGAGCGTGCTCACCGCTCGACCCAATCGCAAAATCCTGGGGTTTGAAGAATTATCATCCAACATCCTTTTAGTTCGGGCGCCACTGTAGAGACATTAGGCATTTCCGAAACAGGAGAGATGAAAAATGAGCATTGCCCTTGCTGGGAATCGAACCACAGACCTCTCAAATACGCGCCGAGCGTGCTAACCACTACACGATGAAGGCGGGAGGAATACCTTATAAGTTGTTTAAAGCAATGCTTCAACATACCCTTCATTTTTATTTATATTTGGCTAAACTGGAGACAGCTGTGCTCCGCCTCTGGCATATTATCCAAATCTCTTGCTTTGCAACTTTACATTTTGCAGCTCAAAAGAAGATATAATGCATCCAGAAATTGGATATATGAGAACTTAGAATAATGTTGTTTGAACCAAAGCTTCAATACACCTTTCCACCTTCCACTTTTAGTTCACAATTACCTGGCTAAAATGGAGACAGTTGTTTTCCACATCTGGCTTTACTTTTTCCGAAATACACTGTTAAATGACAATGTTTATATTTATTAAACTATATTCTACTTTACAAGATGCTACGGACAAGGTTTAATGGGATTATGTTTTTAACAAAAGGTTCCAGGAAAGTTTCGAATATCTGCATCAAAGTTAACAGGAGTGCGCAACTACTGTATTTAAAAATGTTCCTATGGTGAACATGAAATGTGATTAGTCTTAAAAGTAATTAAGGAAAGAGTCGGGAACAGAGGATTGCAAAAATTATTCTGCATAATTTTATATTCGAAGAAGAAGAATTTTGAACAGAAACGGACGAACGCATTCAAAATGTTATTCAAAAAGTTTACATGATGCTTTTAAGAATGGCTCTGCAACAACAAGTTCGAAATATGTTTGAACACTTGCGAACTCATCACAAAGGCCTGTGAATGGAAAAGAAGCAAAACATTTTCAGATCCCAAAATTTCGTAAGAAGAACCAATCCAGAAATTTTTGGAAATTATTAAATATGTTATCACGTAAATAATATTGAATAGGTAAATTTTTGTTATTATTTCGGTGAAGCTGAAATCCTGAAATTTTAAGTCGTTTGTTTTCCTTGCAACTCAAAAGGAAATGAAAATTATTTTGGTTTAAGAACCAAATCAATAAAATAAGAACAGTTTAAATTTTTAAAATTTACCGTTAGAATTAAGTATACATGTTTGGAATGAATTATTGATTCCCCCCGCTCCCCAATACTATCACATTTCTAATATTTGTACAAGGCTCCGGCGTTTGTTTACTTTGCCGAACAATAGGTTTCTCTGCCTTATCTCTTAGTAGGTGGGAAAACAAACGTTAACGCCTGACTTTGATTTGATCTTAGTACAGGTAAGAAAAAGAGGCATATAGCAGTGAAAACTTGCAGGTATAAAATATTAAAAAAGAAAAAAAAAAAAAAAAAAAGATAGCTATTGTGTCATATCATCACAATATCTAAGAGCACAAATCTTTGGAAAAAAGCAAAAATTATTATATTATACTATGAAGGTAAGTATTTCATAAGAAGTGTTTACATACGTAATTGTACTGTTTGAAAAACGAGATAAACAGTTTTAAGACTGTAGCCTAAAAATAAATTTTTGTAGCTGAATGCATTTCATGTTGAAATATAGGATGGTATATACAGACACCGGCATTAAATTTCACATTTTGATAAAATTAATTTTATAAAACTCATCAAAATTTATCATTCAGTTCGCAACCTACACTTTCATCATGTCATTTGTAATCTACATTCTCACAAACAATCCGAGTGAGAAAAAATGTCTACATTTATGGCTGTGGTTAAGTGTAGATAAGTAAATTACTTGAAAATACAGGTAAATTGTTAATAGTATTTTCCTGTTAATTACATTATGGGTTATTCCTCTTTCTGGTGTTTTTTTAACAGCCCTAAAAGTAATCGTGTTTTTGAAGTTAATTCATATTAATCATGATTTTAGTGTAACCGTTAACATCATCCCTGGTATTACCCCCGTAAATAGGGAGTTGACTGTATGTTCTCAAACAAAACTCTGGCTTCCCAGAGCAAATAAGCCTTGCTAGAAAGCAATGGAAAATTCGTTATTTCGAATGACATACAGTAAGACCCCGCTTAACGCTGTTTCGTTTAGCTATGTTTCAGTTTAGCGCTCTTTTATTTCAACCCGGGGATTCCCCGAAATTGTGCGCAGCGCTAGGTTTCCAAATAACATATCCGAAACAATGTACTAGTTGTGTTTCTTGTTTGGTGTGATGCTGTACGGACGCAATTTTATCATTTGAAACATTTGTTGACATTATTGTAAGTATAAATTTATATAATATTATAACGATTAATACAGTGACAAATATTATGATCTTTAGTTTTTATCATGGGTGATAATAAAAAACAAGAAAAGAAAGCAACGAGAAAAAGCATTTCACTGGAAACTTAAATGCAAGGGATTAGAAGATTAGATTCTGGTGAACGTCAATCTTAAATTAGTGCTGCATTGAATTTGGCAACTTCAACAATAAGGACAATTCTTAAGAATAAAGAAAAAATACTGTCATCGGAAACTGCAACTACGTCAAGCTCTGCACTAGAAATAACATTATAGAGGAAATGGAAAAACGACTGTCTATATGGATTGACGACGAAATTGAACGCAATATGCCATTTAGCCAATCTATCTTAATGGAAAAAGCTAGAAGAATTTTTAATTACATTCAGGCTGAGGCAAGTGACATAAGTGAAAATTTCGTTGCTAGTCGAGGATGGTTTAATAAATTTAAACATCGAAATAATCTTCACAACATAAAGATTACAGGAAAAGCAAAATGGTGATACGAAAACGGCGGCTGAATTCCCAGCGACAATAAAAACAATAATTGAACAAGGAAACTATCCTCCAGAATTGGTTTTTAATGTTGATGAAACAGGCCTGTTTTGGAAAAGAATGCCAAAACGAACATTTCTATCCCGTGAAGAGAAACGAGCATCAGGATTTAAAGCTGCTAAAGATCGCTTAACGCTTCTACTGGGTGTTAACGCAAGCCGAGGTTTCAAATTAAAACCACTACTAGTTTACCACTCCAAAAACCCAAGAGTGATGAAGGGCATATCTAAATCAACTTTATTTGTAATTTGGGAGTCTAATAAAAAATCATGAATAACTATGAAAATTTTCCAGGGTTGGTTCACTGAACATTTCTGCCAGTCTGTTAAACGTTGTTGCGAAATTAAAAAACTTGAACAAAGAGCACTACTATTAATTGATAATGCTCCAAGCCACCCAACAAATTTATCAGACTTAACAAACATGCATTCCAGTTGAAGTGGGTTTCTTGCCGCCTAACACAACTGCCTTAATCCAACCAATGGACAAGGCGTTATATCCAGTTTTAAGACATTACTTGCGGTGAACATTTAAACAGATGTTTGAAAAAACAGACGGAGAAGAGAAGCAATCAATAAGAGAGATTTTGGGAAAAACTACAATATCATGAATGCTATAGAAGACATAAACCTTTCTTGGAATGAGATAACAGAGAAGATCTTTGAAAGGGGTGATGGGACGAACATTTGGCCAGATTTTTAAGTAAGAGGCGAAGACATTGGACACTCTGTCGAATATGGAATGAAACAGTGGGAATTAGCGAAACAAACCGGTTTAGATGAGGTAAATGTGGAAGACGTCGAAAAAATAGTTCAAGAAACAGCAGTCGAAGAAATAGTTCAAGAAACAGTCTTTCTAATGATGAGCTCAAGGAATTAAATGAGCAAGAAGAAAACAAAAATATTCATAGTAGTGATTTCGAAGAAGAGCAAAAAGAACTTTCGATGGCGTTTCTAAAAAGGAGTTTGACCACTATAACTGAAATTATAGACCAATTTGTTAAAAATGATCCAAATTTTGACAGGAGTTCAAAAGCAAGACGGGGTGTTATAGATACTTTATCCACTTATCAACAACTTCTAACAGAATGCATGCCTTCTTGACAAAAAGGCAGAAAATTGGAAACACAGAATTGACTGAATGATCCGACTGAGAATTTTATTTGTTTTTATAAGTATATTCGTTTATATTGTTTTTATTTTTGTAAGAAATAAATATTTGGTTTTATTTTTATTAAAAAATTATTAAATTTAATACCTAACCAATTTTCTATCCATCTTCCCCTAACTCTATTATTAACATGTTAAGATAGCCTCGTTTAGCGCCGTTTCGCATTACGCTCTACTTTGATGGAACGTATCCTCCGCGTTAAGCGAGGTCTTACTGTATATATCTACCAATTTACTGTTATACGGTAATGGATAAAAAAACTATTAAAAATACTTTCCATCCATTAGTCTGAAAAAGTGTTATCCAAAATACTACCTACTAAAGACAGCTTCTGAAATCGATATTAATGATTCCAAAATTCTACCTACTAGTTCAAATATGAATTAATCCATATTAATATAACCAAAATAAATATGAGCTACATTACACAAGTGGCTTTATGAAATTTCTACACTATATTAGAAAAAAGACTTTTTCATATTATAGGACACATAATTTTAGTACGAAATAAAAGAAAATCTGAAAATCTGAATTTAAAATTTTAAATTACATCCAAAGGGGCATTTTTTTAACATTTTGTGTGTTACCTTTATTTACTAAATATCATGTTCTCTGAAACTTAAACCATAAAATTCAGTTCGAGAGCAATATCTTTAGAAGTTCCGATATACAGTCTCACGAGCTGGAGATAAAAGTGTTTTTCTGTACAACTTTGCCATTACTCGCTCTGAAATCCTTGAGTTTGTTAATCAAAAATTCGTTAAAGTTTTACAAAATATGAAATCGATAATAAAACAAATTTCAAATTTGACTTCCAGATGCCCATATTCGCAGTAGAATTACGTCATTCAAAACTTGATTGCTCTAGGTACCGTTGTTTTATCACAATGCGAGAAACATACATACATTTATGCAGATTCTTCAATATTTAATTTCTTCAAATATAATACAGGGCGATAAGATTTGGTGGCGACAGTGTGAAAAGTGAAACGGACATTTAGAGTGATTCGACGCAAAACGAAAACAACACTAGTTCGTCAGGAACAAAGCCCCTTTGGACTAAAAATTTAAGGACTCAAATTTTACCCCAAAACCAAATTCCATGAAAGGACATTTGCAAAAGCTGAAAACTTATCAATTTGTCAAGATTCCAAATATAGAATGCAATTTTTAACCTTACCTAAATTTACTATTCAGAAAACATGCTTACCTTTCCACTGTAGACTTCTCTGGTACCTAAAAAATTAAAAGCATAATTATTTTTCAAAAGCATCTCAAATTAAATAACAAAACATTGCAGAAAATACGTAGCTTATCAGTTTGATCAGAACTGCGTAAGTCCGTTTTACTACTTTACCTTTCAAAACTTCTGGACCAACAAAGGCAGGAGTGCCGGCCGTGTCAGACAAAAACGCATCCACACCTTCAAACTGGTTGCAAACTCCGAAGTCTGAAATCTAATTTTACATATCATAAGCATCTTAAAGATAAATTAAATTAAATCAATTCATAATATCCTAAAAGAATAAACGATATTTAGTACAGATATGTAGTATCATTGATTCTATTATTTTGCCAAATTTTTCAATCTAATTTTACTGTCTAATTAAATTCAGCTAAAAATTAATGCTTACTTGTATTCTGTCATCATCACTGAGTAACAAATTGGACGGTTTGATATCTCTGTGAACAATTTTTTGGAAATGCACTGAAAAAATATTCGCATTTAGTCAAAATGTAGTATCACATAGGGAACTGTTTTAAAATATTAGAAAAAGAAAAAATTTACGTTTCAAATAAGCAATTTTGTAAAAACTAATTTCCGTCATGAAGTTTGAAATTGTACTCTTCTTGGATTCAAATTCAATATCCACTTCTAGCATAATTGAAATAAGATCAATAAAAATGAAATACTTTAATTTCAGTTCTAATTCTAATGATTATTGTTGAATATATTGCAGAACGAACAAGTGATTTAACATTATTTAAAATTATTTAAGTATATATAAATGCTTATTTTTATTCCCGAAGGGTCCCTAACTTTGAAAATAAATAATTCGGAAACGATGATAGATAGAAGCATGAAACAAGTGGTACGTTTAAATTAGAAAAACCGTAATAGAAACCTAAAAACTTCAGTTAGAAATTTCCGAAAATGGCGTACTACATCCATAAGGCAAGGGTAAAGGCATGCAATTAAAGTTAAGCAGCCGACAGAAAGAAATGTATTTTTTCTTTTCCCCTCAAATGCTATTTGACTGCTACAACCAGACAGGTCTCTCTGCCACCACTCAGACTTTACTTTCAAGGCTTAATATTTTCTGCGGTATTCATGAGAGACAGCGTTTCTCTAGATCTACCGTTTGGGTCCTGATCATTCCCTCACACATCATATTGTGTTTGGCATCGTATAGAAAATATCAGCTTTCTAGCCAACTTCAGTGGATTCAAGGGGTTCAATGGGTTCGTGACGAGGCTATATTCAGCTCAGATACCGATTCGCGACGCATCACCATCTGGATATAATCTGGGACCCGGAAGGGGGCCATTATAGAGGTATCATGGTTTGGGTAACATCATGTTTGAATGCCCGCATACTCCGCCATGCGTTTTTCAGAGACTCCCTCACTGCCTACAGATGTTAGCGAAGAAATCTTCGTCCCTTAGCGACTTTTCAGAGGCACGGTATGCTCTCAGTTTCTTTTTACAAATGACATTCCTCGTCAAAATCAAGCACAGCTAGTCGGCAATTATCGTCAAAGTGAGGATATTCAGCAAATGGATTAACCATCCAAATTTCCGGACTTGAATATGACTGGAATGCATTTGGCAACTGTAGTTCACCAACTCGCTTCCAATAGCCATCCAGAAGTCATGGTGTGCTTTGGTACAACAGCTGCGAAGCAGCTGTCATAAGAAATCATCAGAACACGCTTGTTAACAGTATGACGACTCGCTGTGCAACCTGCGTGTCTGTTAAAAATGATCACGCCCACTGCCAGATAAAGAGTTTTAGAGGTCATAAAATCTAAAATATTTTGCCCCCCCCCGCAAATTTATATTAAGATTAATTTTTGTCTCATTCATTAATACTCCGTCTTATTTAGCTGCAGCATAGTTTTCACGATAAAACTGTCAATATGAAATTTGTGTGCTGAATTTATTCCTTGATTCTATGAGCACATTTTTGTGGTATCCTCCCTTTCCTTGATCCATAAGTATTTGCTTATTTCGCTAAATGGTTAATCCATTTTTCCTGACCATACCCCATTTTAGCCTTACTTAAAGCGCAGTTTTGTAACGTCAATTTTAGACATCATTATCATGAGCCATTACTCACCAACATGAGTGGATACTTTCATTGTTGTAATGTATAAACTGCTGACTTATGTTAGTCTATATAAATCCCAAATTTCCTTAAATTCGGACCAGAAGGTATTTAGAAATCACAATAAAACACATATGGTCTCTTAATTCCAACACCAATATATTTTTGACTTCTCTGGTTTCAATAAATTAATTATATTCCATGAAAAGTTTCATTAAAAACGTTACATTATATAGTTTTTCCCCCTAATATGACTTATTTTGTTTAACTGAGATTTAATTCCAAAATTTTCAGCACATTAAGGAAGAGTCAAATTTTAAAAGAACTGAAAACATAGTTTTTAGTAGAGTTTCAGAAACAGATATTTTGACTCTAAACGTGATAGCATTAGAAATATAATTGAACTTTTTTATACATATTTAACTATTTAATACAAATACTAATTAATAGACAATTTAATGCAACTAATTTAAACTAATTTTACAGGCGGCATGATATCTGTAACAGAGAAAAATGACACATGCTACAACTGGAGAATACTACTCGACGAAGAGCGTCTCTCTCACTGTAGTGTTACCAGAATCCAGTATCAAATTATCGTAATGAAAAAAAGAGTAATAATGCTAAACTATATTATCGCTACTTATTTGTCACTAAAACTGTCGTTGAAAGGACTGGCTCACTCTAATACATGAGTAAAAAGAACAAGGAACTGTATGCCGTCAAACCATTTTATAATGATATAAATCTGCGGAAAATATTTTACATTTAATAAATTTACTAACAAGCTCATAAAGTTATTATATGGGAATTTCTTCAGGTAAATCATTTAGTTAACCTTTAAGAAGAACATAATAAAATCACATTGATTAAATTATGGGCTATTTTAAAGCACAACTTACGGTACTCAATACCCATAACAATATCCCGGAAATATTGCCATGCTTTCATTTCAGATAACGGGCTATTAGTAGGTACATTTATCACAGGGCTAGAATAAAAGAAGAAATCAAAAAAAAAGTTTTATTACCTTATTTATAAGTGAAAAAAATCAAATAGAATCAAAATAATGTATTGAGATAAAGAAATCTTACCCTCTTTGAACGAGTTCGAAGACTGAAAGAGAATTAAAATAAGATTTAAAAATAAGTTATATTAACACCGAAAATAATAATGACAATCTTTCTTATTTAAATAATATTCCGCAAAAATAGTATAATTATTACACTGCTCGTCTTAAAAAAAGTATAATAAGGAAAATATGCTCATCAATTTTTTTATCAACGTCTAATGATGCGAATATTTATGCTAATTGTCTGCAATGGAGTGAGAAATTAAGACTTCGGCGCAGATGTTAACGGATGAAATAGGCGAATGGCAACAATTTGCGTAATGTATGCATGCTGGAATTTGGGTATATAGTGCTACATTTAAAGTTAACGTGGCTTCTGTTTAAAGTTAATCGGTATTCCCTAGTTGTGGCTCAAGGCATCATTTAAAAGCAAAACTGGCGATAAATTGGCAGAATCGAGGGGATAAAACAAAATGAAGGTTGTCTAAGTTTTGAATATCCCTCAAAATATCATGTCAAGAATTTAGAACCGCATTTTAAGCAGCCAATAAAATACTAATAGATAACCTGGTCAAGGGCAACCATAAAGCAACACTGAAGACAGTTTTCTACCACTGGTCCGACTTAACTCTGAAACGTCTTATAAGAGTTGATTTTAGTCATCCAGGCTGCTACAGGAATTCGAATCAGTCGTTCTACAGCTGCATAAAAGTTTTATGCGGTTGGACAGAAAAACCGATGATGTGTCACCCATTCACTTCATTTTCCAAAGGACTCGTTTAAAACAGTATCATCGACATGTTCAGTGTAGCCAAGAGAAATACAATCGTGTATCGTTTACTGACGAGTCTAGATATAGCTTGAATTGTGATCCTAGATGCCTTTTGGTCTGGAAGGAGCGAGGAATACGTTACTTGCCTTCCACTATTAATGAAAGATTACATTTCATGGAGGCAGTTTCATGGCTTAGAGTGAAACAGTCAAAAGTGGCTGCACCTAGCTGTATATCCTTGTTGAAGGTTCTGTAAACAGTCACGGGGTCATTATAACGCTGTTTAGGGATGCTATTGTCCAGGGGTTAGCTAATGAAAGGCACTGTTCATTCGCATGGAGCGCTTGTGATTTCAGAATACTTGGATACAGAAGATATCATTCGAATGGTCTGCCACCTTACTTACTTAATCAGACTGAACATGTGCAGGATACCATAGACCGTCGAGCTGCAATGAACTAAATTCTTCCTTGGACCCGTCGCTATGCATGACAGGGTCTGAAAAGTCTCCTTTCAGATGACAGAAGTGAAATACGACAAAACTTGACAAACGAAAAGAATGGAGTAAAATTTGACAAGATTTGACCAATGTTCTGGCAAATTCCATGAAATTAAGCTGCGAAATTTGCATTTTTGTTAGATGTGAGCGTTATAAAGAAAGAGTAGTTGCGAAGAAGGAGAGATAATGTTTTCAATACTTTTAAATTTCCGCAAATTTGACTATATATTCAATATTTTTAGATTAATTTATAGGGAATCGAACTACTTTAATGCATCTTCCTGGCTCTAGGTAGGCAGTCAGGTGACTTAACGCCCCGTCTTAAGGCTTCCAATGAAATAACAGTAAACTCAGAAGAAGGTTTAAAATTAACATTTTTATTTATTTCTTCGACTTAAGAAAATTACAGAGCTCGTGAAGCAACAAATCACCGCTTTTTAAGATACTAGAAAAACACAAAGGTAAAGATAACATTAAAAAATTAAAGTTTAAATTCAGAACGCAAAGTAAAACTGCCAGTTTTGGCTTAGGCTACTAAATCACCATAGCGAACAATGCTAGCAAAGACTAAAGCTGATTCAGGAAGTTAGAAATTGAGCGAAAACAGTTCGAAGAAGTTCAGTAGTCGCTAAAGAAAGTTCTTTACTAACTTTGTAGGAAAGCAATTCACTTGTATAACTAAAGTTGGTCTCTGAGACTACGAGGCGAATTTTCGCCCAATCTATTAAAGAAATTCTATCTCATAAGTAGGTTTACACTGCATTTGTATTAATGGTTTAAGTTCACAAATGCAGGGCTTGTGCTTATAGAATAATCTCCGCTGTTTGCGGGATATGCTAACATAAAATGCAAATTGAAATTTAAAATAAATTAACGCTGGATATTTATAAAGCAAAAGCGTTGACTCAAACTAATCTCATTGTGCGAGTACACTTGGCTAGCAAAAGGCCGACGCCGGTTAAAAGTAGCTCTCAGATTTGGGTGAGGAAGTATCAGTTCAATGTTAATGCTACAGCTCTTTTTTTTAATTTTCAAGTTCTCTGTGCTTATATACACGTATATGATTTGCATCCTGATAATGGCTGATGAAAGCATAAGTGGTAGTACTGCTAAAATAATACGATAATTGTAACATAAACCTTACAATTTCAAAACTCGGTTCTCATACAGATAACTAATATGCGGCGGTAACATTTCTGGTGGAAGCCAACGAGTAATACAAGTAAAGAAGTGACTGTGCAGATAAAATTAATAAGATAATACGTTAATAAACAAAAAACCCTACAAATCAACATGCAAACATAATAATTAATTAATGTAATTCGTTTATGCTAATTGTTTTTAATCCTTTTTCAATACGCAAGTTTTTATCCTATAAATACCCTTTAATTTTGACAACCAGTGTATATGGAATAACTTGACAAGATATATATTTTAAACATCTTACCCATGTATAAGTTGTCTTCGTCAGGATCATCTAATACCTAACAAACAGAGTAAACAGATGAAAAAACTGCTCTAGAAATTTTAAAATTAGATCTATACAACAAAAGAAATTTTGATTTAATTTAATAATTTACATTTGTTTGATTTTTTTCAATTATTTTATTCTTATTAATGATAAAAATCCATACCAAACAAGGAAAAAGAAATACAACTAGTATATATGAAAAACGAGTTTGATTGTCTACCGTTTGGTGAGCACGCAGTTAACTCGACTTTAGGGAGATTATAGGTGATTGCATTATACTCTACCCTTAAGTTTTGCTCCTTAGATAAATTTGATTTTATCCAATATTTTGCATAGCCTAATTTTGATTGGATATTCTAAACCACGGAGTCCAGGAGTTCCCAGCGAAGTCAGCATTGAAACCCAAGGAGTTTAAAATTTAAAGGGGAAATTTTAGGAAGAAGTTTAGAGAATTTTAGGGAGAGAATAAAATTTCCTCAGGGAGAAATTTTAAAGGGGTTCAGTGATGATCAAGGGATCGATAGGCGAATATACACCAGCACTTGATCCACATAATCAGATTCCACTCATTACAAAAAATACTGATAAAATTGTTAATTAGGTGTTTATGCCATAAAGCTATATCACGTAGTAAGGGGAAATCATACACTGATGGCCATCCAAAATACAGCATGAAAAAGGACAAGAGATACCACAGCCAAATTTATTTCAGAGATTACACATAGTATCAATATCAATTGATTTGGAATACAGCCTTCTTTGAGTAGAGGAAGACAAGAAAATCAGTAATGAGTGTCGCCTCCCCGTTTGTCAATAACTTTCTGCTACACACCGCAGAACTGAGTGAAAGAAGCTTTGGATGCGTTACTGGAAAATGGCAGCTAGCCAAGTTCATCTGGTGCAAGGGCAGATCAGGGTACGAATGCAATATAGTGGGCTAAGAAGAAAGCGTCAACATTGCGTGCAACGTATAGTCGCGCACTGTCCTGCTGAAACATGGCCGCAGTCAAGCTCTGAAGGTAAGGAAGAAGAACTGGAAAACTTAAGAGCAGGGGTTAGCCGGTGGTACGCGTACCACCTGTGGTATGCAAAGGAGCAAAGTATTTTTACCTATTAAATTCAAAAATTAAAACCCCAACATCTTGATTGAGTTTTTTCTCTAACACTTATAAATTTATGCGATCTCAGCTTTGTTCAAGAGTGGTGGTAATAGTAGTACTTTGTAGTGGCGGTACTAAAGGTTTTCAATTTTGTTTAAATGGTACGTGCCAGTCAAAAGGTTGAGAACCGTTGCCTTAGAGATATAGCACTGGCTGGTAAGTGTACCGACCATCGCGGTACTGCAGGCAGAAGCGTAATTCGTCACATACACACAATGTCATGCTATTCAGATGTCCACCTCCGCCGTCCAGTGCACCACTGCAAACGCAAGTGGTTAAGCTATAGACGCCTAGCGGAAATTCCACTGTACTGTAAACGACGTCGAATTGTTCGTGCAATACACCGATTGTTGTACTACAACACTGGCCTACTGAGCAACTTCCGACCTAAGTTAGCCTACAGGCAACAAACGGAATATGTTACTCAGAGGTAAAACCATCTACTATCTGCTGGCCACAACTTTAGGTCGGGGTCAAAACAGATCAGTCGGGCATTAATTGGCAAAGTCAAAATTTCAAAGTTTACATTTGTACAAAATACAGAGTTATTTGGGTATGCTATATACGTTGAAGAAATACTTCTGAAGTTATTATATTAAGATTTTCCAGAATAGTTAAGACACGAATTGACAGCCGCCTATAATAACAAACATGGTAACAATAAATGCAAAACTTTTAAGTAGAAGATCATAGTCAAACATATATAATAGACAAACACAGATAAATGAACAATAAGGATAAACCCCCTGTTCAGAGAATCTGCAAGCTATTGAAATGAAGTATATAGCCATGAAAGAATCAAGTCTGATCTCTAGAGACCAAATTTAAGTGTAAATGAACATACTTTATATTACATAATCCAGTACTAAATGTTTTGTCGAAAGCAAAGTATTGTGCAGTTCATGCAAGATTTAAGTCATATGACTCAGAGGTACTGGAATTTACCCTAAATTATAGTAATAAAATCCATAAATTCAATTAAGAAGTTTGTTGATTCCAGTACAATTAACAGTTGTCATATAATTGTAACAATATGTTAAAGAAGATTACACCAGATATACACAATATTGAACAAACATTATGTTTCCATAGTTGGTCATAAATGTGCCAGGAGAAATAACTATGAGTACAATTATATGTTAATATACACAAAAACAGATGGCATAATATCGAGAGACATGTATTCATGACGTTGAACAAAAGATTACTTCAGATACAACTGAGCACGTGCTGTACACTTTATGCTGCTGCTTTTGAATGAAAAAATTGTTGTGCTGTAGGCTATATTCATTCGAATTTCGAAGAAGGCATGGATATTTATCAATGAATAATGTGTTAAATATTTGCATAATCGCCTGTAGTAACGGCAACCGCCGTCAATAAAAGGAGGTGCTTTCCTTAGTGGCACCGCAGTTCATTTTAGTTCGAGCCAGAGTAGACCTGCCCGGGGAGAAGTCAAGGGATGATAGATTCCGGTTCCCGTCTTGTTCCGGTTCCAGTCCTGTTCCGGTTCCCGTCCTGTTCCGGTTCCCGTCTTGTTCCGGATCCAGTGCTGTTCCGGTCCTGATCCAGTCCTGTTCCAGTTCCAGTCCCGGCCGTTTAAGCCCAAAACACGTAGGAGCGGATGTCTGAATCCAGCGAATGGAGATATACGCCGAAAGGGCTAGATGGATTCTGTCTTTTAAAAGGAAAGTGTTCTTCACCGTGCCGGCATAGCTGTTACTTTAAAGCACTTTGAAGTGTTTAAGTTTTTTCGTTTAGTGATGTTAAGTTTTCATCAGTGTTGAAGTTCCAGTTAAATAAACCTTTAAGTTTTAGACAAGGTTTTTGTGTTCTTCAGAAAATTTTAGATTCGAAGTCAGATATAGCACATAGGATTATATCGGAAAAATCAACATTTGGCATCAAGCGACAGGATATTGTCTGCAAGGTAAGCGACTTTTTTATTTTTGAATCATGGAAGCCTTAAAGCACGAACTCAATATAGAAGACTATTCAGTAAAGCTTGTAATGAATTTGACAATGAAGAAACTAAATTTAATCAGGAAGAAAAATTAATTAAAATAAAAGTTATTGCCGAGAAAGCTAAAGTTTTGTTTGATACTGAAATGAAAATACGAGAATTAATGTTTAAAGAAATTACAGATGAGACTTTACTTATTAAGGAAATAGATGAATCTGAATTATATTTTGATAGGTGGAGACTTCTGGAAAGTAAAGTAAAAGATCTTACTTCTGGAACCCCGAATGTAACTTTAATTGATCCGTCCTTTGTTCAGAATAAAATGTTACATTATCCGAAGATTAAATTGCCTATCTTTGACGGCAACGTGAAGAAATGGCTAGGATTTTGGGGGCAATTCCAAAAGATTGATAAAGATCCTACATTAGATAATAATGATAAATTTGCTTATTTAGCACAGGCTATGGAGAAGAATTCCGCAGAGGAATCCTGCAGAGGAAATAGTTAAAAGCTTTCCGCCAACTGGCGATAGTTACAAGCAGCGCGCAATGACATTGAAGCATTGCAGACGCGTTTTGGTAAAGAATTATAGTTAAAAGCTTTCCGCCAACTGGCGATAGTTACAAGAGCGCAATCGAAGCATTGCAGACGCGTTTTGGTAACAAAGAATTACTAACGGAGATTTATATTCGTGATTTGCTAACCCTTGTTATTCAAAAACAAGGTACACACTCTTTGCGGAAACTATACGATGAACTCGAATCTAATCTAAGAGCCTTGGAGATATTGGGAATAAATAGAGGCAAATATTGCGCGATATTATATCCATTGGTAGAATCAGCATTGCCGAATGAAGTCTTAAAAACGTGGGAGAGACTTAGGTTTTCGCGTAAAGGATCAGAAAGTTTAACCGGCGAAAACGCCGAGTTAAGAGAAAGGGAATCTGACCTTGAGCGCCTTTTATGTTTCTTGCGCGGTGAAGTTGAAAGTGAGGAAAGAATTTCTTTAGCAGCTAAATCTTTCAATGTTTTCGATCGATTGGCTCACGGTAATAAGAAAGGAAATTCGGGTTTAAAGATAAGAGAACCTCACTTAAAACCTACGGCAGCTGAACTGTTTACTTCTTCTAATGAAGCTAGAAAAGGCTGCATATTTTGTTCCAGTATAAATCATGGTTCTGCGGAATGTTTTCAGGCGCGTAACTTATCGTTGTCAGAAAGAGAAGTTTTGGTCCAAAGGACACGCTCTTGTTATCTGTGTCTGAAATCTGGACATTCTGTCAGGAGGTGTAGATTAAAAACAGTTTGTTTTACATGCGGCAAAAGGCATCATATTTTTCTATGTAAGGGCCATTCACAAATGAGTGAGACAAGGGCAACGGAACAGCCTCCAAATCAGGCTGAAACACTCGCCAACATTTCTTCAAGGTCTCCTAAAGTTTTGCTGCAAACAATAAGAGTAATAATTAAAGGAGATAAAAAATCTCGTTCGGCTCGAGCTATAATTGATACTGGTTCTCAAAGGTCATATATTCTGCAAAGCGCAGCTCAAGATATGGGTTATAGGTATACGGTAAAGGAATACCTTAGCCACGCATTATTTGGCGGTACAACGACCAGTTTGTGTGTGAACATAAAGTTTACAAAATTCATTTATCTAATATGTCTGGCTCGTACAGTTGTAATTTTGATGCGTTAAGTCAGCCTGTTATTTGTAATAGTATACCTTCTATTGGACAAGGAATATGGCTTAAAGAGCTTGCTGACTGTGGAATAAGTTTAACAGATCGTTTAGAAGGACCTATAGAAATTTTAATAGGAGCCGATGTTGCAGGACGATTATTAACGGGGAATCGTAAACAAATTTCAAACGGTCTTGTAGCTATTGAGACAAAGTTAGGATGGACGGTTATGGGAAAAACCGGGGAGTTGAATAGTGAAGGTTCAACATTCTTAGTTACTTCAATGTTGAATAAAGAGGCTTGTATTTCTGATTTATGGGCCCTCGACTCGCTTGGTATTACGGACCCATCCGAACAAAAGACTAAATTGGAATTGTATGAGGCTACCAGGCAACATTTTCTTGATACTGTAAAAATAGAAGATGACCGCTTTGTAGTGTCTTTGCCTTGGTTGGAAGGGCACCCTCCCCTGTCGGATAATTTTGAGTTATCGCTTAAAAGGTTGCACGGTACGATTAGGCAACTTGAACTGGATAATCTTCGCCAAGAGTATCAAAATATATTCCAAGAATGGCTCAAAGAGGGCTAGATTTACCCCATCATTATTTGCCACATAGACATGTTGTTAAGGAACATAGTACTACGAAGTTACGGCCAGTATTTGACGCTTCGTCTAAAGCAAAGGGTTCTCCGAGTCTCAACGATTGTCTCGAAAAAGGATTAAACCTTATTGCATTTATTCCTACAATCTTAAATAGATTTCGCCAAGAAAAAATAGGGGTGATTTCTGATATTCGTAAGGCCTTTCTACAAATTGGCCTGAATTCTAGTGACAGAAACTTCCTCCGATTTCTTTGGATAAAGGGTGAAGATGGCTTGAAGCATTTTCGTCATTGTCGAGTCGTATTTGGTGTAACCAGTAGTCCATTTTTACTTGGAGCTGTTATTCAATATCACTTAAATTCAATTTTGGAGAAAAATGATGCAGATGTAAAATATCCTTCCAACATTATTGTTAAATTAATGAATAGTTTCTATGTTGATAACTGTGTAACAAGTGTCGGAAGTGAAGATGAATTACAGCGCTTCATGAAAGTATCTTCAGATGTTATGGCAGAACGAAAATTTGAATTACGGGCTTGGGAATATACCGACTGTAGTTTAGAAAGAAACAGAAACTATTGCGAATGTATTAGGTTTGTTATGGGAAAGATACTCTTCAAATAAATGTTGCTAATTTACAAAATCTTTGTTTCGAGAAAGTTACGAAAAGAAGTATTTTGGCAATAGCCCATAAAGTATTTGATCCCATTGGTATAACATATCCAGTCCTTATATTACCTAAGATGTTATTACAGCGTACATGGGAAACAAAAGTAAAATGGGACGAAGAAGTTAACACCGAAATTAAAAGTAAATTTTTGAAATGGGTAAAAGACATTTCTTTTGAAAAACATTAAAATTCCAAGGTGGATACGATATCAGCCAAAACAGTGTTCAATCCATGTTTTTTGTGACGCCAGTCAAGCAGCGTATGCGGCAGTAGTTTGCATTCGTGTAGAAGAACCAGAATCAGTTAAAGTCCAGTTGCTTCAGGCTAGGTCTAGAGTTTTCTTTTGTGGTAAAAAGGAAACGACTATTGTAAGATTAGAATTGTTAGCAGCAACTATTGCATCTCGTCTTGCTGCAGACGTTCTAAAAGACTTTGAGGCCAGAAGTACTTTTTTCTGGACAGATTCAAATACTGTACTTGCATGGGTAAAAAGGGAAGAACATAAAAAGAAAGGACATGCAGGTGTACAAAATAAATAGTAGCTGAAAAATAGCCTTTTAAGGGAAAAGAGTTTTGGTTGTTTATTCTTTGGAAACAGAAGAAACTTGTTGCGTTCTTGATTTTGAGTAAATGCATTTACTTGCAAGAGATGATTCTGCATGTTACATATGTTGAACCACATATCAGCCCCACCGCCAATAGAGCGAGTAAATGATTCAGCAGTATTTCAAGTAACGGGTATAGACCTTTGTGGTCCTTTATTGTTGAGAAACAAAGAAAAGGCATGGATTTGTGTTTTTACATGCGCCGTTTATAGAGCGGTCCATTTGGAGTTGCTGACTTCTCTATCTACAGAAGTGTTTCTTCAGGCTTTTCATCGGTTCGTGTCACGAAGAGGTAAACCCACAACTGTGTACAGTGATAATGGAACTAATTTTGTAGGAGCTTCAAATGCATTTAAATTAATAGATTTTGAACAAATTAATCGGCAGGCAGCCAATGAGCGGATAACATGGAAATTTATTCCCCCTGGTGCTCCATGGTGGGGTGGTTGGTGGGAACGTCTGATCGGAATGATGAAGCAAGTCCTTAAAAAAGTTCTTAAACATGCTTGTTTAAATTATGAAGAAATGTACACGATACTGTGTGACTGTGAAGCGATTCTTAATGACCGACCGTTGACAGTAATTCCTTCCGATCCTGAATTTAAAGCTTTAACTCCTGCCGACTTTTTAAAAGAAATTAGAACTAGTAGTAGTTTGCGGGATATAAAATACGGTATTAAATCAAGTAATTTACAAAGAAGATTTCAGTATATTCAAACTGTACGAGAAGCATTTAAAAATAGATTTCGTAAAGAATATTTGGGAATTCTCAAGGTTTCGCATAAAAGAGCTGAAAGGAAAGTTACTATTAAATTAGATGATATTGTTTTGATCGGTAGTAGTGACAAAAGACTTTTTTGGCAACTTGGTCGTGTCATAGAACTACTTCCAGGACCTGATGGAATAAATCGGCTTGCAAGAGTAAAGACCCGAAATGGAATTTTGCTTAGAGCAGTTCGAACTCTGTATCCTTTAGAGGTAGCGCAAAATGATGTACCCGTGAAGCTGCAGAATGAAAAACAAGATTCTTTGTCTGAACTTAAACTCAACATAGATGATAAATCTGTCAGGCCTGTAACACGATCTGGTAGAACTGTAACTCCGCCCGACAGACTGGCATATTAAGGCTCTTTGGCATTGTTTTACTTTGATGTGAAAGTTCACTTTTTTTCTTTTTTTTTTTTCCCCCTTAGGTGGAAGGATGTTAAATATTTGCATAAGTCGCCTGTAGTAACGGCAACCGCCGGCAATAAAAGGAGGTGCTTTCCTTAGTGGCACCGCAGTTCCTTTTAGTTCGAGCCAGAATAGACCTGCCCGGGGAGAAGCCAGGGGATGAGAGATTCCGGTTCCCGTCTTGTTGCGGATCCAGTCCTGTTCCGGTTCCCGTCTTGTTCCAGGTCCTGATCCAGTCCTATTCCAGTTCCAGCCTGGCCGTTTAAGTCCAAAACACGTAGGAGCGGATGTCTGAATTCAGCGAATGGAGATATACGCCGAAAGGGCTAGATGGATTCTGTCTTTTAAAGGAAAGTGTTCTTCACCGTGCCGGCATAGCTGTTACTTTAAAGCACTTTGAAGTTTTTCCACCCAAGATGTTAAGTTTTTGTTTGTGATGTTAAGTTTTCATCAGTGTTGAAGTTCCAGTTAAATAAACCTTTAAGTTTTAGACAAGGTTTTTGTGTTCTTCAGAAAATTTTAGATTCGAAGTCAGATATAGCACATAGGATTATCGGAAAAATCAACTCCAAAGTAATGTGCGAGCCCCTTGTAAATAGGGTGGAAAATTCTTTCGGGGGGGGAATGACAAATCATTCGCGTAGGAGTGGCGCATTGCATATGCAGTGGGTGATCTTGTCAGACAAGCGAGGTTAGTCCCAACAACACAAAAACAAGCGCATCATCATTACTGATTTTAAATAAGAACCGTTAACTAACAGCCTAAAATATGTATTTATTACCAGATTTATTTCTTCATTCTAAATCAACTGTACAAAAGCTTTTGAAAATTTGGTTTATTTTGTTTCCCAAGTTTAACAAAAACTTTTCTGAATTTATGTATCGCAAAACAATGGACATTGTCTGTACGAACCCATTTGTTGTACCATTTTTTAATATTTTCATTGTGCATTCATTTGTATACAAACATTTGCCTATATGAATAATTTTATATCACTAATACTGCTGTCACCTTCTTGAATGTTAACAATGCATGAAGCATTAATTACTTCACGAATCCATCTGTTTTGTTTGATTTACTTCATTAAAGTGCATAACAAATGACGCGTAACATTAAATTTTGAAAATGAGTTAATAATCTTACCTCGTGCAATTTAACAATATTGGGGTGGTTGAGCTTTTTCAGTATAGCAATTTCTCTGTATATCTGTGCAAGAGGACCAATGCGAGATTTCTGACCATCTCTAGAAGGTGGCACCCTACCTACAAGAAAGATAAAATTTAGAAACAGCAACCAAAAGCATAACAAGGCACCATTCGTTAAAGTATTGAACATTTAAAGTATAAGATAACATGTATTATTTAAATTGAACTAAGGCAGCCAGTGCTCTGCTTTCTAAAAATTTAAGATTATAGTCTAATAACACGAAGAGTTTACCATCAAATTTCAAAAAGTTACAAAATTAGCTTTAAAAAATACAAAAATCGCAAATTAAAAAAAACTGCGATTATGGAATTTTTCGAAGGTTTACGATTTTTATTTTCTTTTAATTTTGCATCCAGGACGTAGATTCCAGTTTAAAGCCTAAAATAATTTTTAAGCTAAACACATATGATTGGCCAACTGGCTTATGAATTAATCTCATTAATCTGTAATTCAGGCTAAAGAATATATTAGAGTCATATATTAACAACGTTATTCAAATTAGCAGTACCTAATGGGGAAAAAACTTAATTACTTAAGAACTTAACGACTGAACCATTAGTTATTACGGCCCATTTAACTAACAAAAATTAGTAAGCTAACATTATAGAGACATTAGGTATTTTTTTGGAAACAGGAAAGATGAAAAATTAGCAACGCCTTCGCCGGGAATCGAATCGCGGACACCTGCACACGGACGCCCAGCGTGCAGATCTCCACACCACGAAGACATGCCAAGAAGGCGGGAGAAATACCTTATATACTCTCCCTTTTAAAGGGGGCTGGGGTATTTTAGGGGACCAATCGCCAAATCCTGGGTGTGGAGACTCATCATCCAACACCCTTTTAGTTCGGGCGCCACTGTAGAGCCATTAGGATTTTTTTTGGAAGCAGGCAAGATGAAATATATGCAACACCTTCGCCGGGAATCGAGCCACGGACCTCTGGAATACGTGCCCAGCTGCAGACCCTCACACCACGAAGCCATGCCTAGAAGGCGGAAGAAATACCATATAACATAAACAAAATAAAATCGGAAACGACATCTGACAACTAACTATATAAAAGAAACATAACGTTGAGACAGGCTATGCCAGCAACACTACGACAAATCTCCAGCATATTTACTCGGTATCAGGCCTTCCTTCCTACAGGACATTCGTTGAACGACCAGAAACTCACCAAAATTCACTTCCTTCAGGCAGAATAATCAATCCCAGTCTCCGTACTCGCACCCGAAAATGGAGTAAAAAGCACGAATCAGAAAAGTCTAGAAATAGCAAACTTCACAGGTGAAGTTTCCCCCCAGAATCGTAACGGTAAAAAAAGACGTCGGTTCGAAGCGATATCTTGTCTTATGTACTCTTAAGTCGGCTGAGTGCGTAGTTTTTTCCATTCAAACTTGCATACGGCAAAGGCTGGTTATTCGTTCCAATACTAATGAGTCATTCGCCTCCCTAGAGTTACAAAGTGAAACTAACTACTGAAATATTAGCCGCCACCAGCTGTGCATTTATTTCATCAGATCGATTGCGCACGAAGCTTTCAAGAAATTCTCTAAAATGGCAATCGTTTTTATTTTGCCAGAAAATCCACCGCTTATTGAAAACAGTAAACACCTCCTCCATGAGTTAAAAATGCACCATTTAAACTAAATAATTTTATTTGGAACATTACATTAATGATTTATGTTAGTTAATGGAAATTTATACCGAAATATAGAAATTTATATCGCTGCATCCCTTTGAAAGTTGGCCATCTGCGCCAACGTTTAGAGTGGTGCAAGGAGCGTAAAAACTGGGCATCTCATCAATGGAGTCATGCCCTCCTTACAGATGAGAGTCATTTTAGTACTACAAGTGATTCTCAACGGCAATTGATTTGGAGAGAGGTCAGGACACGGTTTAATCTCAGTAACATCACGCAAAGAGACCATTACAGTGTCCTGGAGATCTCGTCTGGCGAGGCATTATGCTGAATGGGCAGACAGAGCTCCACGTTTTCGACAGAAGTTCTATAACTGGAGATCGCTATTACCAGGAGGTGATACTTTCCCATTAGCGTCTGTTCCGAGGTGCATTTGGAGCAGACTTCGTTTTTATGGATGACAATGCACGGCCACACTGGCCTCCTGCTGTTCAGAAGCTACTGAAAAGTGAAGATGTCACTCGAATGAATTGGCCAGCGTACTCCCGATTTAAATCACATAGAACATGTGTGAGATGCTTTGGGAAAATGCCTTGTGGCACATTTACATCCTCCGGGGAACACACAATAACTGAAACAGATGCTGATTGAGGAATGGGCACTCTTACCTCAAGATCTGTTGGACAATCTGGTGCTGTGTATGGACAGACGATGCGAAGCAACCATTGCAGTAAGGGAAGGGGATATCCCATACTAAGGAACATCTGCTTGTTGTTCTTCCTCTTGTACAGACAATCATGTGTTACAATACTATGAGTTCAATAAAGCCTGTTTTTGCTTGATTCTATACTGTATGCATTGTATTCATTTTTTTTTTGAATTATGCTTTCGTCAGCTTTTAAATACAAAATGCGCTCTCTCATTTCTGAATTTCATGTCTCTCAGATGATTTCTTGTGGAGTTATGCCAAAAAGAACACCTGTTGCTTAAATTTTGCACACCAGTGTAGTTCCACATCCGCAGACACATAAGTCTACTCCTAAAATTTGCATAATAATGTACAGTCAAATGTTTCCACCATGTATTTAACGTTTCCTCTTCTGTATATGCATAATACATAATATTTTTTTATCTATGAGCCTGTATTTTAATCCTATTATTTTGTAACTGTATTTTTGTATTTGTATTTTTAATTTGTATTTTTATTTGAATTTTATTACGAATATACAAACTTACCATAGCAAATTGCAACAACAAATGTCAAAACAGTAAAACAAATGCAATCTGCCCTTGTATGGCCATGTAAATGTTCTTATTAACATCCTAAAAAGCTCCCGAGGCGGCCTGTTGAGGCCTCAGGGAGTTTTTCCCGGTTAGTGGAGGGCGCGGGACACATGCCTGTTTACCTATGTTAGACATCAGGCGTCCCCGTCCTCGTTACCAACAACCAACCAACCTGATAGGCAATCTAATAGCCTACAAACTTACTAAAGAGGCAAACAGCAACATAAATGCAGATGAAATTAACATTCTGGCACTTTCCTCTTATTTGAAAAGCAGCTACTTAAAAAAGCCACCTAGATATGGCATCGGGAATGGAATTTGGGTGACACCGGGAGACGTACACACAACTTCTTTCCAAAAGACAAACTTCATAAACACGTGTCCACAAATCACCAACTTTGTAACGGGCCACTGATTGTTTCCGCTTTATCGTTTGGGATTTCGGAAACAGTAACGTGCGCCTGCAAAGCAGATGGCCACAATACTACTTGCAACAATGCCCTATCATTAACGCCCCTCACATACGTCAGTGCTTCAATAATGTGGGCACTCACAGACGCTTTATTACATAAAATGATGTGACTGTGGACAAGATATGTCAGACTATCAACACAACTGCAATCCGGAGATAGTAGATCTGCCAGGTCATGTAAGAGTCTCACTCACTCAGCTACCACGAAGTCAGTCCACAAAACAACATGTAATGCAGAATAGAAGCGTATTCCGTACGAAATTCCAAGTGCGATACATTGTGATCTTGCAAATTATAATGAACATCGAACTGAGAAATTAAGCAAACTAGTATGCGCATAATGAGAATATAAACTACTTCTCCATGTTTCATTGTGTGAAAGCGAGTCCATAAAAACTATCATGTGCAAATATCTGAATAATGCACGGACTTTTTAGGTATTTTTGCATCTATATATATACTCGTCTCTTTAGCATTCGTCTCTTTTTACTTGTCTTTTAGCATTCTCGACTATTACTATTACTAGTCTCTTTAGCATTCTTGACATTTGCAACATAATACGTCGAACCATTTTTATAATTACTATTTAAGTACACCTACAGAGTAGCTATGCTATTTTTTCCCGCACTTGATTAAACTTATTTCCTCGAATTATTCACACTTAATTAACTGATCCCTCAATGCAAGTCGAAAATGACATCAAAAACTGAAAATTTTGAAATTAAATATCCCGGCTAACTTTTGTCGTACAGTAATCAAACTTTTGGTATTTCTATTTTTCATAACGAGTATAAAACTCCCAAATATACTAATGAAATTTCCCAAATAATTAAACTCCCAAATAAACTAATGTAATTTCCCAAATAATTAAACTCTCCCAAACTGCGGGTGACTGAATTAAAAGTTTAATTTCGTTATTCGCCCAAGAGAAATTTATTTTAAAATTTGAAACTGTCATACCATGAAAATTTTCGTTATTTAAAATACTTCTGCTAGTGGAAGTAAATGTTTACAAGCAACGATTGCGAGAATAAAGGGCAGGTAAGGTATTTTAAGCCGGGTAAGGGAAGTGGGTATATATATATATATATATATTATATATATATTATATATATGTCATGATAAAAGCACAGAAAACGATGGAACACTGTAGATGCGTGATTAGATCCATATTGAAGAATTTTGATTGCGTAGTATTTAAAGAACTTGGCAGTCGAGGCACTTTTAATTCCATTTTTATTTCCAATTGATATTTGTGGCCACAATCACTTGGCACTCTAGTCGTGCCTTTCCACAGAAGATTTACATTTTTGATATTTTTGAGATAGAAAGCAAGCCAGCGAAATTACATCTTAGCACAGCACAGAGCAAAAGCTGAAGTGCGTAGTTATGAAAGATAGAAGCACGCGAAGAGAAAAGTTTTGGTTTACAATTCGGTGATTGGTTGTCAAGAGGCATCTGGTATTAACGGTTATGTAAGATCGCATGATTAATTTGAATGACGCAATGCAGATAAGTTATTACGATTTTAGAATAGAGAGGAGGAATTTATGTTTATAGTTATATTATAATTCTGATTCATACATTTTTTATCTTACATATATATGATTTTAAAATGCGTAGATGAAAACAGTGGATTTTTTAACAGCTGAAATA